GATCTGCCCATCTTGGACAGGCAGATCGTACTTGCGATCATCGAAAGCCCGCCCCGCTGAGGGGCGGGCTTCCGATGACCGCAATGCAGAACGGGCAGTGTGCGCTTGCGCACACTGGCCCGTTCTGCAGCTGTCGAACGAGCAGGCTAGAAACCCGCCGACAATAATGCGATTCTCGGCGCGTTTTCAAGCATGCTGGTTTCGACAAAAGACGTGCGACAGTTTTCTTGAGGAAAGATGATTGTACAGTATTCATCCATGAATATTTTGAGTGAATTTTGTCTCCTGGTGGGTCATGATTGACAGCTCCGGGTGCATTCACGAATTGACATGATGTCAATTTAATTATTTTTAAACCCTTTTTAGCCCCATGTCCTACACTACACTTCCTAGGTGTCGTTTTCTTCTCCCCCTTACCCTAAGAGTCCTGGGTGCCAAGTCGCCATACTACACCGTGGCATTGGCTTACCCTGCCACATAAGATACATTTTTGTTAATAGTTAAGATACTTGAATGAATTTTTGAGATTTAACTCCTCAGTTTATTGTCACTTTAACTTACTGCCATCAGGTAATGAGACAAACCCCAATGAGGATACTAACACTAGGGGAATGGAGTTGTGCACCCATCCCATCAAGGGCTGCCATTTTGTATAGCTATCACAGTACAGAGCTGTCCTTTTCTACCACTTCTAATCACTTATTCAGATATGTTACTATTTGGATCTCACTGAAAGAGATTTGTTTTCCTCAGTGTGTCTGCAAGGAATTTTCTCTGCATTCTAGAATTTCCCAGCGTATAATAAGACTTCCGTCCAGGCAGCTTTCTCCTCTGGGTTACTAGCTGGGTAGTCGGTCCCAGGATGCATCGTGACTACTGGCCTATGCTCCCAAGTGACAATAAAGCATGGGAAATCCAGGTCGCCATGGCAACGTGGCAAAACAAACTGAGCGGGGTCAGCACAAAGTTTTGCTGCATCCTACGCTCACAAAAGACAATTATGATGTAGTATGGCTTTATGGCAAGCTTGGGATGAAACATCTGCTCGTTTGGAGATGGTACAGTTCAGCTCATCATCACCGCAGTTTCCATGCGATGCCAATCACGGGCTGCAATGTGTGAGTAACCACAAAGAGATACATTACAGCCTGGGACCGAAATCCATCTTTACTGTGCTGGAAAATCTTACAGCACGCTAATGTGACAGACACCAGAAATTAATTCAGAACAGCTGGTGAAGTTCTGTTTCATTTTTACCAGTTCTCTACACGTAAACCGATAAGCTGCAACCTTACCAACATTGCTGAGCAATCAAAATGGCTGCCTGGGGTACAAGAGGGAACTTGGTTTACTTTAAATCGCATTCCCTGGAATTCATAAAGCGTGTCGTAGATGCTCTTTAGAAATTTGTCTCACAGTAGTCTAACAAATGGCGCAAATTGCAACAGATTCATGTACATCAAAGATTATATATTATCACCAGCACACTATACTTAAAAGTAAAGGTTGGACATTTGTCACTAGGGATGCACCGATATCGATACTAGTATCGATGCAGAGTATTTGGGCGAGTACTCGTAATGGACGTGGCGCCCGGCTTTCTGATTGGCCAGGAAGCCGGCTTCATGCTCCCTCGTCACCTCATGACGAGGGAGCATGGAGCCGGCTTCGCGGCCAATTAGGAAGCCGAGTGCCGTGTCATTACACGGCGCCCGGCTTCCTGATTGGCCACAAAGCCGGCTCCATACTTTCTCGTCACCTGGTGATGAGAAGCATGGGGACGGCTTCCCTGCTAGTCGGGAAGCTGGGTGGCGAGTCTTAACACCCTGCCCGGCTTCCTGAATGGGACTTCCAGGTATCGGTATTCAGTATCAGCGGGTACTGAAAAAAAATACTGGAAACCGAAATACCGGTATCGGTGCATCCCTTTTCGTCACCCATAAAAAGCGACGTTTCAGGGCACTGGGGCCTCTTCCTCAGGCAGGAGTGACTAGTTACGCTTTAGGTCTTATATTCTATATTTTTAAGAATATATTAAAACAATAACTCTGAGCAAATAAAAAATTAACCCTTGCAATGGGGCTATGCCAATTTTCTTTTATAAATAGGGAAGAGAGTGAAATTAAAAAATATCATCAGGCTAACTTATAGGTATATAACTCAATGAGGGGAATTTATAAAAACTGGAGCAGACAAAATCTGGAGCAGCTGTGCACTACAACCAGCTTCTCTCTTCAGTTTGTTCAGTTAGGACTTGAAAATGAAAGAGAGAAGCGGATTGGTCGCCATGCACAGCTGCTCCAGATTTTGTCTGCTCCAGTTTTGACAAATTCCCTTCAATATAATTGGCAAGAAGTGGTGACAGAGTCTTTTTAACCCCTTGATGCCCAAATTAATTTTCAATTATGTAAAAAAATATATGATATGTGTTTTGGCTAGCAAGCAGACACGAAAGAAGGTGGAGATTGTTAATTTGAATATAGCACATACTATGGAGAAAAATATAAGTATGATGAAAATTAGCGACATTAGGCATTTAAGTAATAAAATTAAGTTATTGGCCAGTACCTGCAGAAAACAATTCAAATGACACAAATGATCACAAATCAATAGAATGTCATAAAATCAACAAAAAGTCACATGGGAAGAAATATTTTTACTCTCGGAGTTCTCAAAAGCAGTTTTTTATCTTGTTGAGGCACAGGTGAACATTACACTTCAAACATTTGGTTACAATCTGGCCCTTACAATTTGGGCAAAGCTAAATCTGCACATAACTTTGAAATTTTTCGTCACATGGAGTTGACCCCAATTTATAAGCCGTAGCGACAAACAATAAGCTGTTGCATAATTTATTTTACAAAAATAACCTAAAATAGTCAAATTCTCAAAATTAGCAGTCAGCTGCCTTGTGCATGACTGCGCTGAGGCTTTGCGTACTTCAAGCAGTTGTAGCCAAACTATACTACTGCAACAGGGCGCGATCATTGCTCCCAAAACAATCTTTGGTACTTATTGAATACAAATAAACCAGCATTGGCGGAATAAACACACCACCTTGGCTGCAGTCAGGCCTGGAGGGGTATGTCGCAAAAACGCGGCAACCGTCATCAAGGGGTTAAAGTCCAGTTGGGTAGCTTCAAAGTAAGTGTTGTGAGCCGGTAACAAACACACACACACACAAACACACTTTTTAAATGTTATATACAGTTTCCACTTTTAGAGAGAGACTGCTGCCGCCTAGTGTCTGCAAACTACAACACATAAAACATGGAAAATAGAAGGTCTGGAGAACAATTAAAGCAGAACTCTAGTTCAAAATGTTATTAACCCTTGCAGTGGGGCTACCCAAGGGTTAAGTGCTTGTCTTTGCCTAGGGTAAAAAAAAAGAAAAAGGTTATACTCACCCGATCCTCCAAGACAACTCTTAGACCGGCCCCTGGAGCCTCTCTCCCTCTACCCAAAAGGGGTCTAAGGATCCTCCAGTCATCACGTTCTATGATGCGGTGTCTGGCTTCTTGATTGGTCGAGAAGCCGGCTCCATGCTCCCTCGTCACGAAGTGACGAGGGAGCATGGAGAACGCACCCTCCGGCTTCCTGATACTGGGGAAAGGAGCCACCCTAAGGCCCCATTCACACTGAGTGACACTTACCTCGAGCGGATCCGCGCGATCCCACCTTCACCGTCGGGCTGCATGCAAAAATAGAAAAATCGTGCGACATCCGCGGGAAAAAGGGCCCTGCACGAGCGACGAGCGACACGGAGCTGTAGAATAGAACAGCTCCATTGAAAATCATTGGACGGCGACTTCTCGCGATATCGCGCGGCAAATATGCGCAAAATCACGCGATTAAACGCTCAGTGTGAATGGGCACTAATACAGGACTAGTGCTCAGGGGACCAGCTGATTCTACAGGAAACTAAAACTTTAAGGAGCAGCATCCATTGTAAGCGATTTCATCAGCCAGCAACCAGCTTGAAAACCTTTTGACTTTAATATCACTTTAAGTGACGCTTTAAAAAGGTATATCTCTCAGCGATTTGACTGATAAAATGTGAGCCTGCATTTTGTGTCTACACCCCACAATGAAGGTGGTACTTCCTTACAGCCAGATTCCCCATCCGTCGGCTCATTCCACATTACAGACAGCCTCTAGGACAGTGGTTCTCAACCTTTCTAGGGCCGGGACCCCTTGGTAACATTTGCCAAGTTGTGGTGACCCCCAACGGTAAAATTTAGGGATGACGCGGCTGCTGCAGCGACATCTGGCGGCGTGGTGGGAGAACTGACACTGCTGCGCTAGGAGAGGGCTGGAGGAAGGACTCTCACCTTATTATTGTTTGTTTTTTATAATTTTCTTATTTTCTAATAATTTGTTTCTTATTTTCTTTTTAATCGCTTTTTTCTTTTTAAAATTCTTTTATTTTTATTTCTTTAATAATTTTTTTTATCGATTTTTTTTCTACTTAACTTCATTTCTATCACACATAAGTAACAAGCCCCCTGTGTAATTGCAATTGGAGGTGACATGTTCTCTTTATTGACCCTGTCACCTCCAATACAGGAGTCCTAGCACAGCACTGTGCTGGAACTTCTGTGACAGGTGAGAGGGGAAGACTGCTATCCTCTCTCACTGTGCACACGGAGCGGCAGGTTTACTTTTAAATAACCCTGTCGGGAAAAAAAAAAAAAAAATTTCTCCTGAAAAGGTTTAGTCTGCTCGATTTTTTTTATGACTGACGCGCTCCTCTCCTGGGTGGCCGGAAGCCGCTAGGCGACCCCTGGCAAATCGTCATTCGACCCCCGACGGGGTCCCGACCCCCAGGTTGAGAACCACTGCTCTAGAAGACCATTTTTTGACTTTGTACTGGCCAAAACAGCTGGGCCAAACTGGCAATTCTATAGGGGTAACTCATGACTCAAAAGTCAGTTGTGGGTGGGTTTGACCTTTAGCAGTATTAAAACACATACAAATCGTTTTTTTCCACTGTTTTTCAGGCTTCAGAAGACATGCCGTGTGGCAGCGCGCCTACTCGGATTCCTAAACCGAAACCCGGGACAGTGTCCAAACTACCCATTAAGAAACCTATGGGAAATGCAGTGAATGGAGAGCGGGAAGGAAGCAGAGAGAAATCGCATTTCTCCAGACCTATTTCTAATCCCCAAGGTGCAGCTAAGAGGTGATCCTTGTAAATGAGGGGTTGAAGACAAAACACGCCGCCGTTCCCCACCCAGCCTCTGACCTGCACTGACAGCTCTGCTGTTCTTTATATTCTCTCTGTACATTACATTTCTAGTTAGGATGATTCCTTGTGTGTGCACTTTGTATTCATATCATTTTTAAAAATAAACACTTTTCATGTAATTTCTGCGACTACAGTGTTATTTGATACAACTAAAATGGAGATCTCACCGAGTACGAGTACCGATACTTTTCCTCAAGTACTCACCAATACCTTTTTTTTTTTAGTGTTACGTGACAGTTTTTCTAAAGCAGTACAGACTAATGATTTTAGGACAATGGACGTCAGCAAGGGCCTGGTCACAGCAGTAACCCTGGTGGTTCTGCCACTGACAACAAGCTGTAGAGGGACTACAAATCTCAGCAATACATTATACAGCAATGGGGAGTACCACCAGCTATAGAGGACTACAAATTCCAGCAATACATTATACAGCAACGCAGAACACCACCAGATGTAGTGGACTACAAATCCCAACAATATATTAATTATACAGCAATGCAGAATACCCCCAGCTATAGAGGACTACAAATCCCAGCAATACATTACACAGCAATGCAGGATACCACCAACTATAGAGGACTACAAAACCCAGCAATACATTATACAGCAATGCAGAATACCCCCAGCTATAGGAGGACTACAAATCCCAGCAACATATTATACCGCAATGCAGAATAATATGAAGCTACATACTCTGTGTTGCTCCGGGTTGGCGGCCTGAAGTCTCCAGGGTCTCAGAAGGGCTGTGCAAGGTCTCAGGTGGGCTGTACGGGGTCTCACCAGGGGTCCATAGGGTCTCGCAGGCAGGTGCAGTGGCGGGGTTCCCCAGGAAGGAGGAGGAGATGTGCGGCCGGGACTGTAAACAGGCTCTGCGGTTCAAAGGAAGGCTGCCGAGGTCCCCAGCAAGCGCGGGACCTCAGGCAGCCGCTTCCGTTAAAGGATTAAAAGCACCGGTATCTGTGTTTAATATCGGTGCATTTTCACAAATACATGTGAAAATGCCCAGTATGAGCACCAATACCGGTATCGGTGCATCTCTAGTGTATATATACACATAATAGATCCTTGTATCTCCTTGAGAGGATCATCCCCTCGATGACAGATCCATGTCTCTAAGCAGTAGGATCATCCCCTCCTCATTAGATAAATATATTTGAGCGGTAAGTCCACCACAAATTTTCTCACCTGTATCTCTCTGCAGATATTTAAAATGGACCTCTCAGTAACTTTACTGAGAAGTAAATTCCTGACATCTCACAACTAGAGCTGCAACAACTAATCGATGTAGTCAATTAAAATCGATGTTAGAAAACGTTGTCAATGTTTTCCATCATCAATTAGTCGGCTATCGATTAGTTAACCTGCTCACGGCTCCAAACAAGACCCGGGCCGCGCGCCGCACATACCGCACTACATACCAGTTGTCCTCTCCTACCCGCTCCGAGCTCTCTGACTCGCCGCTGCCTGCCCACGATCCAGGGGAATCCAGGGGGAACATCAACCGACACATACATTATACGCTGTATGTTGGTGCTGCCTGTAGAGGTTAACTAGTAAACGGGGCATACTAAAAGGAATGACAGAATGGAATGCCCATAGGCTTTGACAGGGTAAGAGAATGTCCATAGAATATAATGAAGCCAAACGGAATGCCCATAGAGAATAATGGAAAGCAAAGTATCAGATAATTTGCAGGCAAATCTGAAAAAGATATCAAGTTATCCTTTATCGCAGGTCTTCCCCGTGTGTAGTAATATCATTTACAATTGAAATGACTTGGGATTTTTCATGTTTTCCATGGAATGATTGGTGACTGCAGACATCCACGGCGCCTGGGTGAGATCCACACGCAGCCTGGTGAGAGGAATTATGCTTTGGGGACATGTATTTGCAGAACACATGTTCCCAAAGCATAATACTATTCCACCTTAGGGACATGTATGCTGCGTTGTGGACATGTATTCACAGCAGAGCGCCTTAGGGACAGGCGCTCTGCTGTGGGGACATTCGTATTTAGCCCTGGTGAGAAACTGCCCTAAAATCATCAGTCTGTGTTTAAGAAAACAATGTCACCTGTCCCTTTAAGAAAAAGTATTGGTAATTGGTATCGGCAAGTACACGAGGGACAGTACTTGGGTCTTAAAAAAGAGTGGCAAGCATCCGATCAGCAGGGATCTCCAGTGACATCATTCACCATATATGGACATATGTGATAAATTATGAAGAGAGAGCTTTTGACCCGGGAGAAGATCTTCTCAATGCACTGCACACTACACGTGAAGTAGGCGGGGCAGATGGAGAGGAGGAGGGACGGGCTGTCAGTTCTGGCCTCCTGCAGCCCAGCTCAGGGGTGTGGAATTCCTATCGCCCGACGCCCGGGACAGGCAGTTTTGGGCGTCGGGCGAGTAGTTTTTTACTACATTGAGCCCGGCTGCGGGCAAGCAGCACTGCTAAATGTAGTGTGGGAGCCGTTTTGTACGAGTGATTTTAAACGGCCGTGCAGCCGTCCAAAAATCACTTGTAACCTGCAGCATAAAAATAGAAGAAAAAAAGGCGGTAAAGTAAAAAAATAAATAATGAAAAAAAATATTACAAAGTAAAAAAAAAGTCTAACAGCACCCCACCCCAATAACGCCCGTGCAAATGCACATAATCTCGATTGAAAACATTCCGAGATTACCACACGGATGTAACCCCATTGAAATCAATGAGGCCGCGAGGCAACCGTACATGGCCTCGCCCAAGCTTCTCCCCATTCATAAACTGCTTGATAGTATTTACTATCAGCAGTTTCTGAATGGAATGGGAAGCCTCTGTACTGAGTGCTTCCCATTCATTGAGCGCTGAGGCTGCAGAAAAAGAAATTGAGGATTTGGTGTCCTCAATTTCTTTTTCTATTTCAAAAGGGAAATGTCAGGGGTCTGTTTAGACCCCAGAGATTTCCCCGTAGCCCCCCCCCCCACACAGTAAAAAAAAATGTAAAAAAAAAAACACAGAATTAAAAAAAAGCACAACCCCTTCCTCCCCCCACATAACACACACACATATTGTGGTGCACACCATGCACATGCGCTGTAGTGCGTTGTTAGAACGCATCTCAGTGCATGATCTTTATTTATTTTTTTCTTTAAAAAAAACATTAAATTAACTGTGGCAGCGCATGGCAAAGCTTTGTGACTCATTGCCGTGTGCTGTGATACCTTGGGTTGCAATTAAATATACACCTCTATAATTTTATCACAACACAAACACCAAAACAATTTTTTACATAAGTCGATTATTTACAGTTTTAGGCTAGACAAATCTCAGGTGCTAGGTAGCCAATGCTCATTAACCCCTTCATGACTGAGGCCCTTTTTTCATTTTTTTGCACCCATGTTATGGGACATTTTAGGCCTGAAAATGACTTAAAACCCCCCAACATTAAACGTCGTCAGTCACGAAGGGGTTAAAGATGACAGCTGGTCCCTAGCTTTTGTGGTTTTCACTAGTTGTTGTCAAATGGACAGACTGGCTGCTGAATTCCATATTAATGCTCCAAAGTTCTGAATAAGGCCTCATTCATGCAGGCCGCGGCAGAGGGGAAACACGCATTTCAAGCGTTTTTGTGCGTTTTGTCACAAAATCTGCGAAAGAGGGACTTAGAGAGTTCTGAGATATCTCCGCCTGATCTACAACAGTGCGAGACCTCAAGGCCAATATCTATTGATTATTGCTCAATTAGAGATCACAACAAAACAGGAAAGGCTCTGCAAGTTTTTGCAAGCAACTCAGAAGCAGGCGGCAATTGGTAAACAGCTCAGATTTATGATGTGCCAAGCATAAACTACCTTCAATATAAACATAATATAAGCTGTGGAAGGGTGCTCACAGGCTGACAACAAGCAGGCAATGGCTAGTGCTGGCAGTTTAAAACAGGAAGTGCTGGAAATACAAAGAAGCTGGAAGGATCACTCAGTATTTAGCATTGTTTTGCAACTAGAATAATGAAACATCTGTTAATATATGATTTGGCTGTGTCTAAGGAAGGCGACAATATAAATAAAATTAATTTGATAGTAATAACATTTTTGGTTTACATACACTTATGTCCGTCAGTTTAACTATAGCTCTAGTCTCCAGCAACCATTATGGGATGTATCCTGCACTTAACTTATGTCTGAAATAAAGTGATCTGCTGCCACCTACTGGTGAAACCACAAAACTGCAAAACTGGAAGGCAGTATGCATCTTCTCTGCTGACGTCTTACATATATTGTATATCAGATATGTATTTAGCCATTTACGGTACATGGAATTTGCTGCGAGTTTCCACTAGAGTTTTCTGCAAAAGGGGTTATGCTAGAATAAATGATGAGCTCTGTGGACCAACTCTGTCAGTGAAAGCTCCCAATAATCTCAATATCTTATTTAGTAGTAATAGAGAAAAAGCACCCTCTGAACTGCAGGGTCGGATTAACATTGGGGCAGTGACGTGCCCTGCCTTGCGTGCTAGGTGAGGCAGTAACGTGACGTGCCTTCTGTGATTGGTGAGGCATCCCCCCCCCCCCCCCGGCAAACCCCCACTCCAACGGAGGCCATCGCCCGCCCGTTCCGAACAGCGCTCGCCTATCTCTCAGGACCGACTGACCCATGTTCAACTGCTGTTCACATGGAACCCTTCTCCACTTCAGCCTTCAAAGTTCTCGTTTGAATATTTGCTGCTACTACCACCAAGATCTGCAACCGCGGCGGCTCCGCCTGGGCCCTCGCCCCGGGGACTCTCAGCGCAGGCGACGGCCGGGTATGGGCCCGATGCTCCAGCGCCATCCATTTTCAGGGCTAGTTGATTCGGCAGGTGAGTTGTTACACACTCCTTAGCGGATTCCGACTTCCATGGCCACCGTACTGCTGTCTATATCAACCAACGCCTTTTCTGGTGTCTGATGAGCGTCGGCGTTCGGTTCATCCCGCAGCGCCAGTTCTGCTTACCAAAAGTGGCCCACTGGGCGCTCGCATTCCACGCCCGGATCAGGGCCAGCGAGCCGGGCTTCTTACCCATTTAAAGTTTGAGAATAGGTTGAGATCGTTTCGGCCCCAAGACCTCTAATCATTCGCTTTACCGGATAAAACTAGGTCGGCCCGAGCGCCAGCTATCCTGAGGGAAACTTTGGAGGGAACCAGCTACTAGATGGTTCGATTAGTCTTTCGCCCCTATACCCAGGTCAGAGGACCGATTTGCACGTCAGGACCGATGCACCTCCACGAGAGTTTCCTCTGGCTTCGCCCTGCCCAGACATAGTTCACCATCTTTCGGGTCATGCCGCGCGCTCGTGCTCCACCTACCCGGCGGGGCGGGCGAGATGGGCTGACAGTTCCGAAAACCAACAAAATAGAAACGGAGTCCTATTCCATTATTCCTAGCTGACATATTCAGGTGACTGGCCTGCTTTGAACACTCTAATTTTTTCAAAGTAAATGCTTCGGGCCCCCGGGACACTCAGTCAAGAGCATCGTGGAGGCGCCGAGAGGCAGGGGCTGGGACAGGCGGTAGCTCGCATCGCGGTGGACCGCCAGCTCGATCCCAAGATCTAACTACGAACTGCAGCAACTTTAATATACGCTATTGGAGCTGGATATATTTTTATTGAAAAGATAAATAGCAACACAAAATAATCAAACAACGAAAATCCAATACATATCAGAGTACCACCTTCAGTATCAGAGGGGTACCTTTCAATTGATACCCCCGATGGCAGAAGATCGTCGTCCCCCAACGACAACTCCTCATCCGCATCCCCTCCAGTCTCCAAAAGATCTGCCATCTCCTAGTCATTGGTCCTGTCGGCACAGCTGGAAGAGAAATAACCAAAAACAAATGTGACTCCAAAACACAGACGTACCTGACCTGGCAATGCCAACACCTGCTCATAACTTCAATGAGCAAAAATGTTTTTGTTTTTCTTTTTTGTCTTCAACAATCCCGTCTAGGAAGAAAGAGATTTTCCCTTCTTCCTAGACCTCGTACCAGTACCACCTTCAGTATCAGAGGGGTACCTTTCAATTGATACCCCCGATGGCAGAAGATCGTCGTCCCCCAACGACAACTCCTCATCCGCATCCCCTCCAGTCTCCAAAAGATCTGCCATCTCCTAGTCATTGGTCCTGTCGGCACAGCTGGAAGACAAGACCTCAAACCGGTTGGCCGAGACAACCCGCTGGACCTCCAGGACACCTACCTCAGAAACTGACACCCATCCTCCCCCCCGACAAGCCAACGGATCAGGGGTCCGAGGGGGGAGAGCAGTACCTGAAACTCCACCCTTCTTGCTTCCCACCGTATGCCATTCCATAAGACTATCCTCTGCTGAAGTCAACACCGTAACCACAGCTGGAGAGGGCGTTAGACGGGGCATTAGACAGGAGCCAGAAGATGGCTTACTCCTAACAGGGGCTGCCGACTGGGCCTGAACCAGTGAAGAGGCCAACTCCCCCGACCGTCAACCACGGGAGGGGCAGACTTCACCACCCGACCCAGGGGGTCACCAGGGGGCCCATCCACCTGCCCTTCTGGACCACCCAAGTCCTCCTTCTCTCTCCTCCGGACTCCACATTGTGCTGCGCCTCCGGGCATGCTCTATAAGAGTGCCCCAGTACCCCACATAAATTGCATCGGATCCTGCCACAGGTGTCCCTCAAAGCTCGTCATGCACATTGAAGAAAACTATATTCCGGTCAGCTCGTCGCCCCCTTTGAAGACAACTATATTCCGGCCAGCTCGTCGCGCCCATTGAAGACAACTATATTCCGGCCAGCTCTTCGCACCCATTGGAGACAACTATATTCCGGTCAGCTCGTCGCGTCCATTGAAGACAACTATATTCCGGCCAGCTCGTTGCGGCCATTCCAGCCAGCTCGTCGCGCCCATTGAAGACAACTATATTCCGGCCAGCTCGTCATCCCTCGTCGCACCCATTGAAGACAACTATATTCCGGTCAGCTCGTCGCGCCCATTCCGGCCAGCTCGTCATGCCCATTGAATACAACTATATTCCGGTCAGCTCGTCGCGCCCATTGAAGACAACTATATTCCGGTCAGCTCGTCGCGCCCATTGAAGACTACTATATTCCGGCCAGCTCGTCGCACCCATTCCGGCCAGCTCGTCGCGCCCATTGAAGACAACTATATTATGGTCAGCTCGTCGCGCCCATTTCGGCCAGCTCTTCGCGCCTATTGAAGACAACTATATTCCGGCCAGCTCGTCGCGCCCATTCTGGCCAGCTCGTCGCGCCCATTCTGGCCAGCTCGTCGCGCCCATTGAAGACAACTATATTCCGGCCAGCTCGTCATGCCCATTGAAGACAACTATATTTCGGTCAGCTCGTCGCGCCCATTGAAGACAACTATATTCCGGCCAGCTCGTCATGCTTTTTGAAGACAACTATATTCCGGCCAGCTCGTCATGCCCATTGAAGACAACTATATTCCGGTCAGCTCATCGCGCCCATTCCGGCCAGCTCGTCGTGCCCATTGAAGACAACTATATTCCGGGCCAGCTCATCATGCCCATTGAAGACAACGATATTCCGGTCAGCTCGTTGCGCCCATTCCGGCTATCTCGTTGCGCCCATTCCGGCCAGCTCGTCGCGCCCATTGAAGACAACTATATTCCGGCCAGCTCATCATGCCCATTGAAGACAACTATATTCCGGTCAGCTCGTCACGCCCATTCCGGCCAGCTCGTCGCGCCCATTGAAGACAACTATATTCCGGCCAGCTCGTCGGGCCCATTGAAGACAACTATATTCCGGTCAGCTCGTCGCGCCCATTGAAGACAACTATATTCCGGCCAGCTCGTCGGGCCCATTGAAGACAACTATATTTTGGTCAGCTCGTCGGGCCCATTGAAGACAACTATATTCCGGTCAGCTCGTCGCGCCCATTGAAGGCAACTATATTCCGGTCAGCTCGTCGCGCCCATTCCGGCCAGCTCGTCTCGCCCATTGAAGACAACTGTATTCCGGCCAGCTCGTCACGCCCATTGAAGACAACTGTATTCCGGTCAGCTCGTCGCGCCCATTGAAGACAACTATATTCCGGCCAGCTCGTCATGCCCATTGAAGACAACTATATTCCGGTCAGCTCGTCGCGCCCATTCCGGCCAGCTCGTCGCGCCCATTGAAGACAACTATATTTTGGTCAGCTCGTCGCGCCCATTTCGGCCAGCTCTTCGCGCCCATTGAAGACAACTATATTCCGGTCAGCTCGTCACGCCCATTGAAGACAACTATATTCCGGTCAGCTCGTCACGCCTATTGAAGACAACTATATTCCGGTCAGCTCATCGCGCCCATTGAAGACAACTATATTCCGGTCAGCTC